ATATATATATATATATATATATATATATATATATATATATATATATATATATATATACACACACCACAAGAAGTGTGCTAGGTAGTTTATAATCCTACACATATGTACACCAAAATAGAGACAATGGAGAGATCTTAACCTTCATGACTGTAGTTTGACTAAACAATGCGTTAAGCTCAAGCCCAGAAGACCCAGTTTCCCAAACTCCCTTCAGGGATCTGGCGGTTGGAGAGTGGAAAATTCCCAAACACAGGACAAAAGTCAAGATGTTGATGCTAACCTTTTGAAAACCAGAGGCCGGGTGTGTCTGGCAGAGTGAAATAGGAAGCTTTTGGGTAGGAGTGAGAAAGTGGCTGGACCAGCCAAAGTCAGAGAAGGATAGTGGGGAGGGAAGGATCCATGTTTCAGAACACAAACTATATGCTACATCAGAAGGATCCTGGATACCCCAGATGACTCTGACCCCAGTCCAAAGAATGCTCTAGACTGGTGGGAAAACTGAGGCAGGGAACTGAACATAAGGTTTATTATTTTTGTATAGATCTGTGTATCTCTCATATGATTCACTAAAGAGCAATATTAGAATCCTGTTCAAACTGTCTGTATGTTGTGTGTTACACCTATCACATGACCTTGAAGAGTTAAGTTGTGGACCCAGAACACCCACACAGCTGGAGTTCTGGGAGAGCGTGGGGGGACCCTGATTGGTAAGTACTGGTACTAGGGACTTGGCAGTGGGTCACATGGTCACAGCTCTCAAGATGGGGCTGCTAGACACAGGGTCTGCCCTGATGAGTGTGTGCCTAGAGGCCCCAAGACAGCTGCATTGTCAAGACTTCATTAGGGCTCCGCCTCCAGGGGCTTAAAACACCCAGGATTCAAAGTTTGGATGTCCTCACAGCAGTCTGGTGAATGACCAACAGGGGGCACTGAACTGGGTCTGTGACATAGGGATTGGTGGTGATGCGTGCTCTTCTAGAATATCAAGTTCAATTACACTCAAATCTCTGAAGACCAAGAAATGAAGACCTACGATAACACCACGTCGACAATGCAATCTTAACTCTTGCCTCTTTGAGTCATGATGCAACACAAGGCTAACACACACATACTAGCATTTTACCCTTATA